GTTGTTGCATATTCACTTCAAAAAACCTCTTGCATTTATTTTGAGTCTGATTTTCTTAAAAAATATAGTTTAAAACGCTTGTTGGTGCATTGTTCTATGTAATTTGGAGTGCTCTTATTGTGAAACGTGATCGTGCATCTTGGAAGATGAATGTCTAAAAATTCATTAGCACATGTGCGAGGTATTGTCGTCTTAAAGACAAAGAGTTGAATTTTATTTCAATCAAAATCTCATTTTCTGCATTTTGTTTTTTCTACATCTTGATTTCAGTAAGTCAAAATTCTTTCATTTTTTTAGCATATAAAAGTTAGTTATTAGAATATAATCCATGCCCATATTTTACCAACAATCTTAAGACGATAATTTTTGTATAATTTTGTATCATGTTCTCTATTAGTTTACGTGCATATTCTGTTTTATATAGAATTCGTGTACTAGTCAAAATCACTTTGGATTCAATAAGTTTTGTGATTCTGTATTAAGTTAATTTGACACGTTTTAATTTGTCTATTAAATGCATGTGTGATTACTAGATATTTACATCTTAGTAATCCTTACTTTAATAATTTAAAATTCTAAAATGTGAGCAAAAGTATCATGTTCTAAATTCACGTGATTGGAGATGGAATACATGAAATTTATAAGAGAGAGAGAAAAAAAATGTTATATAGTGGTTGTTAAATGTAAGAGCATGCATGTAGATGCACCTACTGAACCAAAGGGTACATACTTTCATGATTGGGGGATCCACGATTTTTTTATGGGAAAAGCTGCTTGTACACTTGTGGATCACAACACTAGATGACAACATGACGTGGACGGATGAGATGAGAAGGGCTGAACGGCTGAGATGCAAGAAAAAACTAATCAGGGGTGAAATGAGACAAACCCGTGAGTTTCTAAAAAACCCAGCCTACCACAACCCCTAAAAATTCAAAAATTGCAGGCTGAACAAAATTCAATAGCAAAGCTTTAATATCAAACACTACAAAAAAAAAGGGTTCCAGCAACCAGCAAATTTGGTCGCTGAAGATCATTTTTTGGTCGCTGAAGATCTCTAGCGACCAAATAACCGTGGTCGCCGGGTGGTCGCTAATTCACCGTCTGT